TTGTGATTCATCTTTGAATAAGAAGATAAAATACGGGTTAAATAAATAAAATGCTTGTAAAAAGAAATTTATAGGAAAAAGCATTGTAAAAATTTTCCTGCAAAAGAACCACTACCCCCTGATTTATGAATTAATACAAAAAGTCCATTCCCAGCCTTTCATTTACTATTATTCCAGTTCAGTGCCCCACTCCTACTTTGATTTACTCCAATCAGTTCCCCTCAGATGTGAAAATAAACAAAACAACCAATAGATATAATTTATCGAGAAAATGTCTATCAATATCTTTCGACCAATGAATTGAAAGGAAAGAACGCTTCAAATTTACCTGATTGGTGGAAAAACACTATAAATACTGCACCCATTCGCGTTAGAGGTCCTCGTACACCCACTTTCATGCGGAGTCGTTCCTTTTGTCGAAAAGCTGATAAGCGAAAATGGGTAAGTAATGATAAAATCAGCACAGTTTATCGTAAGTACAACTAGTTACAATTAATTACAAACCTTGATGCGCTGAATACAAAATTGGTGGCTAATAACGTATCTGTTTGTGAAAAGGAAAACGTCAAACTGCGCAATTAGTTTTCTCAACGAGTTTCTCTCATTTTCCTCACAATATACGCTTGCAGTTAAAAATATAGCAACAGTTTTAATTGTCTTCAAATATTGCAGTGGTCGAAATGGTTGTTTCCGTACTTTGCAAACGAGAAAATAGGTTTCTTTTAGTTAATTGAGTTGTTACGTCATTGATAACGTTACGCAGTTTTTGTTCATTCAACGAATTCAACTTTAAATCAGAACCGGAAAAAAAAAGTAAGATCATTTTCTTTGTTTAATCTTCTTTTCCTTTTCTTTGCGTAATACGAAACGAATAACAGCACAAATTTGTGAAAAAAGAATTTTTTGATTCGCAATCTTGAAAGAATTATTGTTTTTAAATGGCCTTTTGCATTGTAGGTCTTTTCACAGAATTCAACGCCATCCCCTCTTTATATTTTCGGTGCGTCAATGCAACTATTTACCAGATATATCCATGCCAAATTTGTTGTTCTCACAATTCGACCAAAAAAAACAGTTGACGATAACAGCGTTGTTTCCAGAACACGTTTCGGAAACGTGTTTGCAATGGCAATAGTAATTCAAGTGACGACCACTGCGTGTCACGATGATGAAATTAAAAGAAAAAAAGGCTTAGAAAAGTACGTAGCGATAAATTCGAGAAATCCAAACAAGATGACATCATCATCCAGTCGAACGTAATTGTTTCCACAACATAATAAACAATGTCACTTACAGATGTTTGTGATCTTTGCGACTTTCTAAAATACAATCAAAGAATATTTACGTTTAACGAAGACTTATTCTTGTTTTTCCTTTGAGATAGTGGCCAATGAGTATACGCACTCAATTTTTTTTACTGTTTTCAGCCAGTCACTTTCAGAACATGGCAAACTTTCGAGGGCCAATTTTTATTTTTTTCCGTGACATTGAGTTAACTATACTTTCCAAGAAAAACTTTGGTAAAATATTGAAATACACCCGAGTTATTCACAACTGAATTATTAAGCCCGCCAAATTGTGAAGCCCTTTACAACATGTCAACATAAATGACTCCCCGAGAGTTTGTTGCAGCAAAACATCTGTCCCTGGCAACATTATGCATACCACCAAGTTGTGCAGCTTCGATGCAGATGTTGCCATCAGAAGTGAGGTAAACATCAAACATTGCGAATGTACGAATATATTGCCAGAGATTTGGGTCAAAATGCCGGACGCGCGTGCGCATTGAGAAGTTTATGGCGGCGAAATCATGTAAGGAAATGTATGGGATTTAGACAAAAATCCAAAATACAACAAATACAAGTTAGACTATTCCCTAGCTCCGACTCGAAAAAATGTTCAGTGAAGATTAGGCTGTACTTCTAACATAAAATAATTTAAAAAGGTGTTTGTCTACTTACTTCCCGCAATGTCAGCAATATTCGATATTCAAGGCTAGCCATTCCCTCTTGTCTCTTTTAAATAAAGCGTAATCCATGGCAAGTGATCGTCGATTTGAGGAACAACCCTTCAAGAAGTCAACTAGCTCCAACTCGCATTAAATAAAGGGAAGTTCGAAGTAAGCAAATCATCCATAAAAAGAGACATTTCTAAACAATAAGATACTTTCAAAAGAGCTTGAAAATTGGTATTTTGCTCTGTGGAGTCTTTGATCCTAGACCATCCTTGAGAACGCACCAGAAGGGGAAGCGTTAAAAGAAAAACCTCCTCGAAACCTTCAAACTGTCGCCATATTTATTTTTCTTGTCCAGCAATGTTTGACGGGAAATAAACTCAATCCAGATCGCTTATACTATAGTACAGCCTTGAATAAATTTATTTTCTCGCGCGAAAATTAAAAAGGAGATCAGAGAAATCTGTAAAGTACCTTCGTTGAACTGTGTTTACAAGAAGGTGAAAAAGCCCTTTTCAATTACAATTTGCCAAGGTCTTCCCATTATTTCATGCAAGTAGTTTAAGGTACAATTTCCAAATGTTTGACATCTTGGACAATTACAAAAAAAGCCAGTTTGAGTGGATATTCAAGCTTAGTACAGAATGTCCCTTATATTACATCAGACAGCAAACTGTTCAGAAGCATGAATTCCTTTTCACTGTTGAAATTCCCTTTCCACTTTTACGTTTGTGGAAAGAACTCTTAGATAACCCAAGTGATAAAGTAGGATACATTGACTTGCTCAATGCCACTGTTGTAGGTGGGTGGTTCAGCATTAGAACGGACTGTGAACGTGTGGAAAAATTGTTGTCCAAGAAAGCATACGAGATAAATAGTCTCTACAAACAAACAACAGGGAGGAAAACGAAACGCCTGGATGACAAGGTCTACAAAGTTAGTGTCAGAAGAAATGAGACTGCAACACAGGATTCACTGAAATCAAAGTTGAAAAAAATCGTCCTTGGACTTGGCAGAATGGAAAAAAAGGTACCATGACTTGGAAGCTGACAAGGATAAGTTATATGAGGAAATGAAGGGAAAAATTAATGCTCAAGAACAAATAATAAGTGATTTGACACAGGTAAATCAAGAGTTGGCAAACTATATCCAAGCACTTGAAGAAAGCGAGTCTCTAAACTACTGAGGGAAAAATGCATGAATTGGGAACAAAACAGCAAGCAAGGAAACTTTCTCATCTAAAGGACAAGGCATAATGTGCCTTATGGTTTTGCAAAAGCTTTAGGCTTGAACTACTTCAAATCAAACTGCAAGATGGAGGGTATGCAAACTTAACCGAGGAGAAGAAAAAAAAAGTAGAACAAGTTTTGTTCTTACTTGACAAATTTTGTGTGGGGGACGAGGTCTATCATGAGCTTACAATGACTGTGGAAGGGCTGCCTCAATCTTACTTAATTAAACAGTCAAGGAGTGAGCTCAAAACTTGTCACATCGAAAGAACTCCTGGAAAGTTTCCAGGTGCATACATAAATTTTACAGCAACACTATCTGATCATATAAGGCAACTTCTTACTGAGAAGCCAGAACTCAAAGGTAGCAAAATACAAATCAAACTGAGTGAAGATGGGGCAAGAATGTCTCGCACAACAAATTTTATGCTCATGTCATTAGCATTGCTATAGTTAAATGAGTATGTGATGTCCCCTAAACACAACAGAACTGTAGCCCTTATAAATGGACCAGAAAAATATGAAACACTGAAAACATCACTATCCTGTTTTTTAGACGAAGTAAATGGCCTCATAAGTAAAGGAACTATAAATGTTGATGGGCAGGATATCCAGAGGGGAAATGAAATTTCTACTCATGATTATGGGCATGAACTCTGCAACAGGTGATTATGCCTGCCTGTGGTGCAAAATCCACAAAGACCATCGTTGGGATACAAGTAGACCATTCAGCCATTACAATGAAATTCCTCAATGGAGGACTCTGCAAGAAATTACGCCAATGTGCCACTGTGATGACAACTTTGGATGCATAAATGAGCCACTTATTAACATCCCAATCGAGCTCCACTTGCTATTACATATCACAGACAAGTTGTTGCAAAATTTCATTGACGAAGTTTTAGAGAGAGATGCCATTAATGATTCTTGCAAATGACGGGGACAAGCTAAACGTGTCCACCTTTCAAACCTTATAAAGTGTATAAATTCTTTGGGCAATTCATTTTCCATTTGGAATAAAAGGGATGCAGATGAGAAAGAAACTCAAATCAAAGAATTTACAAGCTTACTAGGATCTCAAAAGAAAACATTGCTCCAAGGTTTTCCATTAAAGCTCTGTGAATTTCTATATCCTGATACTCATGAAACTGTGAAAAAAATCTGGATTGTTTTTGAGCAGTTATATGATCAGATTTCAATCTGTCTAGTACTGCTACAGATACACTTTTTCTCCAAGCCAATGAATGGATTGACCTGTTTTGTTCAATAAAAGGGGTTAGGCCTGGCTATATTAGACCTAGGGTAACCCCTTACATGCATGTTCTTGCATATCATGTACCTTTTGTTGAAAAAGCATGGTTGCTTAAAGAAATTTACCAGCCAAGGGGTTGGAAAAAAAAAAAACAATGACGAAGCAAAGAGGGTGCTTTTTCACAAGTCCAATGAATGGGACACAGCAAAAGACAATCTGTACAGAAAGCAGGCAATGGAACCTCAGGCACCATGAGTGAAGCAGAGGCCAGTACACCAAAAGAAAGCTGGAGTACTGGAATCATGAAATTACTGAAACTAGGAGGCAAAAAAGATCTCAGTTGCAAGCTTCCCCTCAGACAACCCATGATGATGAGATTCCAGTTCCCACTCCAGACGAGAATTTAAATATCCTGTCAATCAAGCAACTGAGGGAAATCATCAAGGAAAAAAGCTTAGGGCCAAAAGGACTGTCAAAATTGAAAAAAAGAGAACTTATTCAACTCATTGAAAAGTCTCGAACATGGTCACAAACTGAACTGAATAATATTATATTTTATTCCAGTTGTTATTCCAGAGTCTTTTGTAACTGAGGTTGTTATATGTAGTATTTAATACGAGCAATGATGAACTTGAACTTTTTTGTTCTTCCACAAAAACAGAGTGATGAAGATTGGAATAGTAAGGTCACTAGTAAGTTTTACTGATCCATAACAAACAATTTTCTTTTTTGCTTTTATAAGCTACATGATGTTGGAATCTTGATAAACCTTAGAGACAATTTCTTGGTGTATGCTCCTGGGACTAAATTCATTTCTCCTCCTACTTTATGATATGTTTTGGGTGAGATGCTGAGAAAGGCACGCATTTTGACTGGGAATTTAAGCTTGACACCATCTCCATGTTGATCTATTATGCAATTCCAGTTTTCAGGGAAATAACGTTTGTCAAAATCTCCTTCCTCAAACTTATTCCAGCTCTTCTCATTTGAATTCTTCCCCATTTTAACGAACAAATGTTTGTAAACTTCATGGCGAAACTCAACAACTACTCATTGCTCTGGGCCTTTATGATGGAGGGCCCCCATAACTGCAATTCTTAACCTGTCTACACAGAGTTCAATAATCTCTCTGGGAGGACAAGGCCTTTCAAAGTATCTGCAAGAGGCAAATACAATAAAAATGTTAAATTCAATTTCAAATAGCAGCCAATCAAATTTTCAAACTCTAAAATTTAAATTTTTCTCTCAGAAAGGTAAAACCCAACCCTTCCTTCAAAAAAGAAAAAACCTTAGGGTGACAACTAAAGCCAAAAATCCCTGCCACTGGAGATCCTGTTAAGACCGTCGCGCCAATATTGCATAGTTACAAACCTTAATAAGAGTGAAGAAATATGTTCTTCAGGCTCCCATGTGTTCTCATATAAAGAGTAGTTTTCCCACTTCACAAGATATCTGCGTCCCTAAAAAATATTCCCATTTACCAATGGAAAAAAAAGCCGAGATTCCAATTTGTATCGCGACATTGAGCTGAACTGTAAGCTTAAGTACGTTGAGTACCAGTGATGCAGGTTAAAGAAATTGTTACACCCACCTCAGAATTCTTTTGATAGGCTATAAGTTGCTCTGCTTTAAAAATACCAAGATTTCTGTTCAAATTTCTTCATAAAGAAGGTCCACAGAACTTAAATCGTTCAATATTTTATATGGAACTCGTCTCTCCCTTGATACATGCCATTAGGGACAGCGCATCTCCCAATCCCAGAATACATCAAGAGCGAAAGACTATTGAGATCGAAATGTACTGTGGATCAAAATATAACAAGACAGCGGGAACCTGGTCTCTAACATTAGCATACCTGGTTAAGAAAGTTAAATCCTGAATAAAATTTTTCACTTGATTTGCTCCAAGCATTGTTCAATATTTAAGTGCAGAATGATCCTTGCAAATTTGGGCCGCTGCCAGAGCACCCAGTGCTTACAATACTGAGTTGAGATGGTTTCTGATACCTTTTCGCCAACCCAAAACTAGGCGAGAAATTTCCCCAGAAGCGATCGACAAATTTATGGGGCGCCGAACTAGACAATATTACAAACATCAATAATACGTGCTAAACTTAAACTTATCTTGGCATTTCTTCATATTTAACATGGTCATTGTCACATATCCTTGCCAAAGTCCAAATAAATATGCTCTACTATCTTCACATCCTATATGGTCAT